ATTCAATATCATCAGTGATTAATGCGTTCAAATATAATGGAAGCATTTGTTGTGCACACGAGTGAAATTGTCCTGGTGTGCCAGCTATTACAGCAAAGAATAATTTTCCACATCCTGACACACCATCAGGTTTCTTTTCCAGAACATTCAGTATAGTTCTCAAGAAATAATCTTTACCTGTGACTTTGCGTACTATAAATGTATGTACTGTTACTGTACGCGTTGTGACATAATTTTTATATTTTTGGCAATAAATGATTCATGTCGGATTTTATCAAAATTTGACGCATCTTATGCGAAAAACACAAAGAATCATTTGCTCTCTATATTTACAATATTAAAGAAACAGTTCTTGTATGTATTTCATTCTTTATGACGAATTGGTCTTATTCTTCATGATGGTAAAGTACAGAAAAACTTCACGTTTGATGATTCAATATATCCAAAATTAAGAAAACAGAAAAAATCAATTTATACTGATCTGACCACACTCACACGTATCACACATCGAAATAGTTACTAGAAGATACGACACGATGTTAACTATTCGAAAGACAATTTGGGAAGAGGAGATTCGATTATTCAAGCCTCGCGGCTATAGACGCCCATTGTCAACAACTATAAAAACGAACTGCATGGCTTGAATAATCGTATCTCCTTTTTTCAAATTCATTTTTATTTACAAGCTAAGGATCAATTAGAGAGAATTTACTGTACGCGTTGTGACGTTATTTTTATAATTTCGGCAGTAAATGCTGTATATTTACGATATTAAATAAACAGTTCTTGTATGGTATAGATACAGAAGACTCTCCGGAACATTTCTAAACCCTCAAAGTATCCTTTAGTCATTCAATTTCCATATAATACAAGATATCGAAATACAATTGAATTCCGATTATCCTTTGAATTAGTACATTCTAGTAAAAGAATAGAATTACATACATACAATTACAATTGGCTCAAACAGCATCAGATAATCGGACTGTTAAACCAACGAAGATATTAAGAATTTTGAACTTCTTCCTTTTTCGATTCAAATAGGATAGTTTTTCGCTCGCCATGCTTGCAATCCCGAGAAGACAAAAATCGCATATCAATCCGAATGGTCACGTACTGTATTAAAGGATGCAACAGCATCCATCCTGTACTCGCTATGCATCACGGCCGAAGTAATTACGTTCGCGGGCGTGTATCTATAAGGATTCGATTAACCCCGGCCTTTTTTAAAAATACTTCCTGGATAATATGCAATCGGAGAAGCTGATCAGAGCAAGTCCGATTAAGTTTTCCATCGCGTGATTGGTAATCATCGGAGCAATAATGAATAGCTTCACAGAGGAAACCCGGTCGAGCTCTGCTCCTCTGTCCACCATGTTCCGGTGGCCGTCAAATGACATAATCCTTCGGCAACTAATGAAAACCGATTAGTCCCCGTAACGAGACCGGCATTGACGCGCAATCAATACCCGGGCCACCGTAATAATTCTTGGAAATCGTCGCATTAGAAACAGCAGGTGCGAACTATTTAACGATTCGATACGGCGCTACTCGGTTCCAATAAATCTTCATTAATTTGTGATAGAGCCGGCCGATTGTGATTTAGAAAAAAACCAGGAAGAGAGGAGAAGGGGAACCAGTTTGCGAATAATTTTCCACGTCCGCCGAGCTCGGCACGTACTCGTTTCGGTTTTATCATGCGAACAAGTGTAACGAGAAACGAGTTTCGTCCGAAGCCGAAACACGAATGCACCGAATCGGGACAGGAATCGCTTTCGGACAATCGGCCGGTATTGGCGTGATTTCGCACCATTAATCTTGTCCTCGAC